TATATATATATAGAGAGAGAGAGAGAGAGAGGTATGTTCAAATGTTTCTCACATCTATTCTGTGCTAGAATACACCAATAAGAATTTAGTAAAAATTAAATTATTATTTAATCAAATAAAGATAGATATATTAAATGATTTCCATAATTATATGTATATTAAATGATATCTATAATTATAATTTTTTTATGGAAACTAATTAAATTCGTCATTAATGTCAGCAATAATATTTTTTCAGAATGAATTCGTATTAAGAAAAATGAGATTGTATTCTAACAGAATGGGAGTGTATTCTACTAGATATATTCGCGTTCTTCATATTTCATGCAACTTTATTATATTTTAAATAAGTGTGTCATGAAACAAAACACGAATTCATACATAAAAACCTAAATACGAATTAATTCTGAAAGAATGTTATTGCTAACATTAATAACGAATTTAATTAGTTCCATAAAATGAGAATGTAATTATAGAATCATTTAATATATATACAATTATGGAAATCATTTAATATCTATTTTTATTTAATTAAATAATTATTTAATTTTACTAAATTTCTATTGGTACATTTTAGCATACAATAGATATAAGAAACACATTAATCTAATCCTCTCTCTCTCTCTCTATATCTATATATATATATATATATATATATATATCTATATATATAGATCCGGTAAGAAATTTTTTTTTGGTAGGAAGGTAAGAAGTTTTTTTTCTACATATTTTTTTGACGAACAAAATAAATGAATCACTAGATGATTCATTTGTAAGATGATTCACAGAAAAAATTCCCAAAAAAACATCTTTATGATTCATTTTTAAGTAAATTAAGAAAAAATTCACTTTTATGACAATTTTAGTGAATAACAACAAAATCATTGTATAAATGAATCATCGAGATGTTTTTTTGAGAATTTTTTTCTTGTGAATCATCTTACAAATGAATCATCTAATGATTCATTTTGTTTGTTCGCGAAAAAAATATGTAGAAAAAAAACTTCTTACCTTCCTACCAAAAATTTCCTTCTTATTTGATCTTGACTCTATATATATATATATATATATATATATATATATATATATATACTATAATATATATATATTTATATATATATTATATCTATATATATATATATATATAATTCTCCCATAAAATAGAGAATAAAATACCATTTCATATTATATTTAAAGTCCATTTTAGCAATTATCTAATGATAGTATGGTACATTCATATTTTGTTTATAAATCTAAAACAGTTAAAATTCCCATCAAAGAAATGTTTGAAAGTTAATATTCTTTATTGCGTTAACCATGTTTTTCGGATCGACCCAATGCACTATTATGCAAATAATGAGTTACCGTTTTTGAAAGAATAGACCAAATATCGCTCGACTCTTCCGGTAAATTGATCAAGCAATGTTTGTAAATCTTTACGCATTATAACAAGCTTTTGCATAGTGTTGCGTTTTAAAGTAGTGTGACTTGTTGAAAATGACGTTCTAACCAATTTTGGATAAAATTGGTAACCGGCTAAAGATATCAAACACCCACACATTTACAACATGGTCAGAGTTCTTCCAAATTTGTACCTTTCATTTTCCTTTGCTAAAGATATCAAACACCTTCAAGCTCTATTAAGCATCGCTTGAGGAATTTTTTTTTTCTTTGTAAATGATTAGAGATTGCAAATACAAACAGAAAGAAACATCCCTATATAAAATAAATACCTCAATACAATAGGCCATAAGCCAAGCGAAAACATCCCTTGTGTGAGCTATTTGAAATAGCGACTTTAATTCAAGATTTTAGACTTTTTGAAAAACAACTTACATATAAGATCCTAAATGTTCAACTTCATAACAGTTTAATAGCTTAATAGTTTAAAGGTAGGGGGATCTATCAATGACATCAAGAGACATAAGTTAATTAGTGTCTTAAACATCATAATAAAGTAATAAAGACTTTTACAAATTCCAAAAGCTTGTCCCTCCTTTCATCTTCATTTAAAACTCATAATCTGAACACATATTAAAATAAATATGTTAGGTTAGGAAAGCCTAATGAGCATTTAAAACTCATAATCTGAACACATATTAAAATAAATATGTTAGGTTAGGAAAGCCTAATGAGCATTATCTGGGGACATTGTAAGGTGCATGAAAACTTGTATAATCCACACCACAATGCAAACCCTTAAAAGGTTACAAAACACATCAAGATTAGTTAAATTCAATATTTGAGGAAATAAACATTTCAATGATAAATATATTGTTAGAAACAATATAAAATCTCAAAAATATCAACCAACATGCTACACAGACAATCAAGGAAAGCAATAAAACAACAAAGTTACTTAATGCGGTTCGGTTGATGTGACATACGTCCATGGACAAGAACCGGAGAACTCTTCTATTACTCGAATGTTTTCAAAGTGATTACAACAGAATCTCTAGCTACAAATACTTATAATTCTAAACCCCGACAATTATAGAGTCGAGCCATATACAACTAAACAGGCCTATACCGCAAGGGGCTTTGGGCCTAACGACCATCAACCTACTACAAACACTTATCCCTTCCAAACCGTCTTTCTGGTATCTTCACTAAATTCCAAGCCACACTCTAACACAACAACGTTAACAGAATGCATGACATGCATCTAAAACAAATTCTCAAAGTCCAAAACATTTCACAAAAAAATATTTCACAAATGATGACTGAATCTATGTTTGTGCAAAGATAAAACAAAGCACACTAAACACTTATTATACTCGTTTAAACAAAGTTAGGTACAAGTGAGCCATCACACAAGTACCACACAAGGAGTTGCAAGTCCCCCATACAAGTGAGGTCGTCTAGAAGTTGTCACAACATCATCAAAAGTTCCAATTTTGGTACCTAAGTCATAAGTAGTCATACAAGTCTCAAGCTCATCTTAAGTTTGACTGAGTTTTTCCGAGTTTTGTGAGTAGGGCAACTTGACCGAGTTGGACTGATTTTCTCTGAGTTTGACCGATTCCGGTTTTTTGCCCGATTCTTAGAAAATCGCCTCGACATATACCCGATTCGAGTAATCGGCCGAGTACGTTGAGTTTTACAACACTACTTACAATGAGACTAGATGTTTAATGTCATCTAAAGGACAAAATGTTTGTCCAATTCACTTTAATATGCTCCTTTGCTGACATCAATGTTTTGACCGATTCCCTTTGTTTGACTAATCTCTCCTTTCAATGACAAACGCCTTGACAGTTTAGATCTCTACCGTGACACCTTGACCTTCCGCTTCTTTGCTTCACTTTCACAATTTCGAACTAATCCTTGTTCCGCCTTGAAATGTTCAACCTTGTCGGTTGACTCTCGACTCTGTAATCCATTGCCCAATGCCTTGTACCTTAGCTTACGATATTGTAAGCTAGATCTAACACCATCCATGATGATGTCCCTCCAACAACAAATGAGTTCGAAAAGTTATCATACGAAAAAGACAAGAGATCGAGAGGATAAGCTCTGCATCCTGCCATCCTCGTCCTCAAAATTAACCTCAACATTCTTTATGTCCATAAGGTGGCGTTTAGCTCATCTAAATGATCTTTCAACACATAATATGCATTCATCATCAACAAACAAGTGTGATTTGATTAATAACATGTTGGTGAGGGGCTTTGTCATATAGAGCAACTTGTGTTTGAGCCACAAATTATTGCACTTTCTCCATCGAAAGCCTCATATATAATTCTCCTGAAAGGGACAACATGATTGTCAAATGAGCCTTCTCTTCTTGTTGTTGGGCTCTAGTCTCATCCGTATTTATGGTTTTTGCATCGACAAGTTGTTACCGAAACCCTCATCATTTAGCCCTCGTCTTGATCCGCCAAAGACTAAAGTTATTCTTGTCGATGAACTTCTCAATGACCATTTGAGGAGCCATTAACTTCTTAGAATTGTGTGTGTGTGTATATATATATATATATATATATATATATATATATATATATATATATATATATATAGTGCCAACTTCTATTAAATTGTTGATATCAAGCGTCTAAGTGAATTCTACAACACAATTGTAGCCTTTCAAACATCCTATGTGGTTGATCTCTCCAATCGGGTACTCTAGATATCCAAGGAAAACTGATCAATTGTCGGAAATTGACACAACTATGTTAAACACACGCTTAGGTCTGGTTTGGGTACTTTGACATGACTATGTTAATGACACTTTTGGTTCCCCTCTAATCTACTACATGATATATATGTTTATTGAGTTCATAATCAAAATTAGTAGCATTTTATCCATTGTGTATTGCTTTCATCTTCTACTATTGCTAGATCCATAATTCCACATAATATCCTCATTGTTTCACCATTAAAAAATATGTAATAGAACAATATTATCATTGTGATTCTTCTTCTTTCTTCTTCCTGTATTACTTCTTTTTTTTTTAAATCTCACTTTCAAATCCTTTTCTGCAAAGCAATTTGTTACCCATATCAACCATGTCATATTTACTTGTTTCACTTTCAGCCAATATAAACACTCACTTGATGCAAGTAAACACAAAGGCATCCTTTTTATTTATGGTCACTTGGAGAAATGACAAAGGTATCCTTTTTATTTATGGTCACTTGGAGAAATGAGACACATTGAAAAATTGAAAACAAGTTGCAGATGCAATGAGATTCCTGAAAAAGATGACTTAAAGAGCAGAGTATATCTTCTGATTCATAGAAACAGGAATCATGGAATTTCATAAGATATTTTTTTTTGCTATCTCGTAATGTTCATCATAATAGATACTTTGGAGAATCGTAAGAACATATAGCAAAAGCTTCGGATGAATCAGTTACAGGAGGTATTAATATTTAATTCATCGGATTTAACAGAAAAAATGAAGATAGTATCGAGAGTAAATTAAGGCATGAAATCGTAATATGATAAATTTCAACTACAAAACTGAAGAACTAATAACACATTGCATTAGGCAAACATGAAAAAGGAAAAGTTACCACAAATTCGTGATCTAAACAATCGAAATTTTTGCGCCAGCTTCTTCAAGTTGTTTTTAGCCTCTTCTGCTTCATCTCTCGATATTCCTTCCTTGAATTTCTTCGGAAGTCCTTCAATAAGCTCTTTGGCCTCTTTAAGCGCCAGACTCGTCAAAGCTCTAAACGGCTTTAATCGTCGCAATCCTCGCGTTACTAGGAACCTCATCAATCACAACATCGAACTCCGTTTCTCCTCCACGGCAGCAGGTGCTTCAGCTCCAGCGCCAGGTGCGGCAACAACCGCAGCAGGAGCAAAGGAGGCGGCAGTGACTCCAAGCTTGTCTTGGAGGTACTCAACTAGCTTTTGTGCATCTGCAAGGGTTAGGTTCGAAATTTCATCGCCTAGCTCTACAACCTTCCCCTCGGCGACGGCGGCAACGGGGCGGAGAAATGTCGATCGGTGGGAGAGTTTGGGGGTTCGGAGGGGGAATTCTAGGGTTGTTTGGGGGGAAAAAGACTGCGGGAGATGCTGCTTGAGTGGTGGCGGCGTAGGAAGGGTAAGAGAAGGAGCGCAAAGTAATTGTAAGAGAAGAGAAGACCATTAGAGCAGAGCTCGGGAGAGACTGCAAGAGGGGACTGGGGAGCGAATGGAGAGATAGGATAAGAGGATAGAAGTTTGGTTGATTTTAGATAAACGGTAGAGAGAAGTCGATTATTTCTCGATAAATTAATATAGAAGACCCTTATCTTAAAACA